TGGGTGAATTTTATGCTATGTAAAGTATACCTCAAAAAGCTGTGAAAAATGATTCTACTAATAGTTAAAGTAGGCTGTCCTAAGGGGAAAAAATAGACAAGGGTGGTGTATATGATAAATTTGCATTTGTCCTCACTGGTCTCGCACGCACAAGGAGCTGCTATGGACCAGAGAGTCGGGAAGCCAGCTGGATTCAGAGCATGCTTTTGAATCCGGGTTTGATGACTTCTTAGTCAAGGGAGCTTGAGCAAATATAAAGTATCCTTAATCATTCTCATTTTGTCATCAGTAAATGAGAATTGAATCACCTACATGGCAGGGCTGTTTGAGACTCAAATGAGACCTGGCATCTGAGACCCTTAGAAGATTGCTGGGGGCACACTTGGCGCTCAGTAAATGCTGGGTGTGGCCTCTTTCTATATTTGGGTACTTGCTGAGATTGTTGCCCATGGTGGTCATGCTTCTTGCTAGGAAAGGTATGAGCTTGGAGACTGTTAATGATTTTTAATCGTTTGTTTGCGTTTTTTTAGCATACTTTCTGAAAGCTGTCCTTAAGTAGAATTTTAGACATACTGTATAAAATTAGACTTGAGGGTGGACAGAGATTATAAATAAAATGATAGCGCTAACCAGGCATGATAGATCCCACACAGACTTTTAACTTGATAGCCACCAGATAGCTGAAAAAAGAAACGACAGAAACCTATTAGATCATTCTGTTATCCAAGGGATAAAATGGAGTGGGTGTATTTTAGATGAATCAGACGGGAATTTGAGCTTTAGAAAATTCCATTTAAATGACTACTAGCCTGAGACTGCCTATTTCTAAGGTCCATTTGATCATGGTTGTGGACGTTGTTCACTATGTTACCATGAAAAGTAACATTAAACATTTATTTATACTAAAATTTGTTTCAGAAAGCATTTAGTGCTGCTCACAAAGTTATAATACAAGTTAATAAAAGAACTAAAAATGGGGGCTGGCCCCGTGGCCAAGTGGTTAAGTTCGCGTGCTCTGCTGCAGGCAGCCCAGTGTTTCGTCAGTTCGAATCCTGGGCACGGACATGGCACCGCTCCTCGAGCCACGCTGAGGCGGCATCCCACATGCCACAACTAGAATGACCCACAACTAAGAATATACAACTATGTACCGGGGGGCTTTGGGGAGAAAAAGGAAAAAAAATAAAATCTTAAAAAAAAAAAACTAAAAATGTAGGAGAAGGAAGTTGGGAGAGTAAGTTACGTAGAACCAGAAGTGAAGTTGGTACTCAGAGCATCAGGCAAAGCCCTACACACTTGCTGGGACTGACCCCCAAATGTGATTTCTACACTTTTATGCAGTCAACTGACTGATGTAAATAAAAACGGCAGAAAAGTCAGAGGGCCCATAAGATTAAAAATGAAGAATAACATTTAAAAAGCAATTGCTTGAGAGATGCAAAGTATTCCTGACACTGAAATGAAAGAGGAATATTTTCCATCAGTCATCCTGCAAAGAATATTGTGCAATAGGAATAAGGAATAACATTTTACACTCAACCCGGTAGCAGTTTCGCCAGCCTCAGCACAGGGCACCCGAAGCAGCTCTGCCTGAGACCTGTGAGTGTGCTGAGCTTTGACTCCACAGCACTGGACCACGTTCAATTTCAAGAGATACCAAGTAGGCTTTTGATTCTTACTTCAAAAGTGAAAAATGTACTCAAGTGTCAGTGTAACCAAAAAGTTATTGTATTATATATTGTTATTTTATTGTATTATATTAGCAGAGAAATCATGCAAGAACTTTTTATTTTGTTTCTTGTCATATGTTTATTTCTGTTTTAAAGCAGTCATGAAGAATTTAAAAGCAAAAAAAATGTTTTATTACTCCTCTGAGAATTCCAAGTTAGCTTTGAATGTACTTGGTGTAGAAAGGAAGATGTAGACAGCAGTACTAGAAGGAAAATGTTACAATAGGAAATGGAGGAGTTAGGTATTTAAATTTTTTTAAATTTTAGTTTAAATATTGATTTAAAAATCAAAATTGTGCTATAAAAATTTAAAGCCTTGCTTTTAAAAGGCAGGTTTAAGTTTGGTATCATTTAAATTTTTGTTTTCTATAACACAACTCAAATTCCTTTGAATAAGAGTAACATAAATGTTCATGTATTCCAGTTGCTAAATATGTAAAGATCACAAGGCGATTCTCATATTTCCTAATACAGAAAAAATTAAGAAGTGTCACTTAGTATTATTTTTGTGTTCTCAATTTCCCTATATTCTCAGATGTGAAAAACAGGTTACATTTCACTGTGAATCACTCTTCAGACACATGCACACACACACAACACTGAAATTATTTTTATCTAGTATTATTCATCCAAGTTGCTAATGGAGACACACTAAAATTATTCCTCATATTTGTTTCCCAGTTGTTTTAGCAAATGTTTGAGAATTCTAGCCTGGCTGTGGACAAATGTTTAATTATAACTAAAGAAGCTGCACTAGCTGACTGAATATTTAATGATTTTACTGAATCATTTCTTTGTTTATTTTTTTTGAGATAGTGGCATAGTGGCTACAATTTTTAAAAGCCTTTTTCTTTTAGAAATGATGGTGAAATGAAAGAACATGGTGTGAGTGATTCATTGTGAAGATGGGAAAAAGGCGTGAGATACAGATAAAAGAAAATTGGCTGTGTGTTGGTAAATGTGGAAGCTGAGTAATGAGTGCCTGGGAAGTCGTTCTCTCTGCTTTTGTAAGTTTGAAATTTTCCCTAATAAAAAGTTGAAGAAGCAATGGCAGCAGCAGCCCTGGAATTTTCCATGAAGCTTTTAGAACCCCTTAAAAAGTAAACATGGAGAATCCTGGGGACCTCACTGTATTCTAGTCCAACTTCTTTGTTTACCAGTGAGGAAGCTGAAGCAGAGAGAATGTTGTTGCTTTTGTGTTTCTTTGGTGTTGTCCAAAGCATCTATTTTAAACGCGCAGTGCCCACAATGCCTGTTTTACTACTGCTATCAACATGTACCCCAGAAATTGTGTGTCTTGATTCTCAGGTCAAGCACTCCTCTGTAATTCTGTCTCAAAGGCTTCTGCTCAGACTGTTAAAGAAAAACTGATTCTGACACTCGTTAAAGACAGTAAGGAACTTTAGTCAAGGGACGACTGCACTGGGGCTTTGCAGTAGGGGAGAGAGGTGGGGCTCAACTCTGAGTATAACCATGACACGGGGTTATCACCGTCTTCCAAGACCATTGCAATGATAGTGTGATAAGAGTGTTTCTCTGTAGATGTAGGGGGGGGTGTGTGTCTGTGTGTGTCTTCAGATGGCTCTTAGAAGAAAGTTTTCTTAAGGAGGCCTACAAACTCCTTTACTGGAGTGATAGGAGCAGCAGTGGGAGATTCCAGAAGGAAACACAAATCTAAGGAGACAAGATAAAAACTGAGATGTTCAGCTACTCTCTTTCATGTGGAGATTGTGGCTTCATTGTCAGCTGTGGACAGTTTGGATTTGTTGATGATGGTGATAGACAGACGATAGACATAGAGACTTGTGGCATAACTTTAATAATTGTTCCTGATCCTGGGACGTCAGAATTGGATGTACTAGAAGCTGGTGAAGCTTAAGCTCAGGGACCCTCATGCCTACTCCTACTTTCAAGGTTTTGTGCCTAATTTTTTTTTTTTTGGTGAGGAACCTTGGCCCTGAGATAATATCTATGCCAGTCTTCCTCTGCTTTGTATGTGGGATGCCGCTGCAGCATAGCTCGATGAGCAGTGTATAGATCCACACCTGGGATCCAAACTCATGAACCCCGGGCGCCGAAGCACAATGCATCAACTTAGCCACTGCGCCAACGGGCCGACCCCAGTTTTGTACCTAATTTTGTATTCATAATTTTGTTTTTCTTTTTTCAAAGAGCCCCCCACCCCCCCGCCAGTTGTGTAAGCATCAGGCCCCACAATACTTGTATCCACCCTTGTATGGAGTTGTGACTCTGTAGAAGTACCAACCCTTTATTTTTTTTCTCCGAAGAATGTATGGTGATTCTTGGGGACTGTGGCAGCCACAGTGAATGGATGAACATACTGGCATCGACTGCTCACTGGCCCTGTAGCCCGCGAATTCTTCCATGCAGATCAAAGACAGAAATGGGTGTTTCCTGGGGTTGCCATGAGGGGCTAATGACTGACGTGGGAAGGTATATAAATATTCTAACGAAGTGTTTTGTGAAAATTTACGTAACTTCTTTTATATTTTATGACTAATCTGCAGTCATTTGCTTCCGCAGCGCTGTTGATTTAATTTGGGTAATTTTGGAAATAATGAATTCATAAAGCCACCTTTTACTTTGAGATGAAGGGTCTTGTTTCAGAGGGTGCTACCTGCTGTAATGATGAAACTGAGCTCTCTGCCTGCGCGCGCTTGAACGAAGCAAAAATCACAGTCCATGCTTAACTCATAGTTTTTAAACACTCAAAAAAACAGTAAATTGCTATCCCCAAAGAATGTCATTTTAAAGATTTCTTTCTTATGTACCTGATGCTTCTGGGCCAAATTAACCCATCTGCTCAACCACGTCTATTCATAATCATGATTCACATAGGAAATTTAAAGAAACAGAACTTGCCATGATAATAAGCGTGTTTTTTCATTGCTGAAGTGGCAGTTCTGCTAGTTAAGTTACTGAATGCTAAGAACTTTAAAGTTGTGCTTAGTTGTATTTGTAGTTAATGAATGTCATTAACTTTTGACTTGTAATTTTCATTTGGGGGAACTTTCTGGAATGATAAGAATGTTTGACAAGTTGACTTGAGCGATGATAACACAGATGCATCCATTTTTCATCACACTGAGTGCAAGATCTGTGTATTTTACTGAGTGCAAAGTAGACTTTCACAGAGAAAACAATTCATGTGCTACCTGCAGATTTTTTTTTTGGCAGTTTCTTTTTACTTTTAACTTTTTGAAAGTTTATAATGCCTGCGTTTTCTCATTTGTAACTTTCAAATTTTAGGAATTCTTTGATCATGTGAAGAAACTTTGGGATGATGAAGGCGTGAAGGCGTGCTTTGAGAGGTCAAATGAATACCAGCTGATCGACTGCGCACAATAGTAAGTCTGTCCCCGCGCAGGGCCCGGACCTCTTTGAAGACAGGCCTGCACCCACAGCTGTGCTGCCCTCCCAGGGTTACTGACGTTTCTTGAATGCAAGGAACAAATAATTAACATCTCACTGCAGAAATCAGCTGTTAGAGTGGGATGTGGTTAGTAGATGGAAAACTGAAAATCCAATAGCAGTCAGTGTTTCGGGGGAGAACCAGAACCAGTTGTACTCGTTTTATCCGGATCTCTGTTTCCAGTTCTGTTCATTTTTTGCTTTCTATAGAGTGGTAGGCATATTCATAAATTATAACATATTTAGGTATTCCTTATATTTTAATTATGGAGCAGGGGCCCCCAAATTAAATTTTAAAATAATATCAACATCTGCAATCAAGCCCAAGCTCTTAAAGTAATAAGCGATCATCCTATACACATCAGAATTAGACTAGAACCTTGAAAGTTGATGGTATTAATAAGTAAATATTTGGTGAAAAAATGTTACGAAGAGAAATAAGAATAAGGAAAGGACTGTGGTGCCCAGGCTGGCTCATTGTTTTTCCCTGAAATGCTCATTTTTCCCATTTTCTTTTGCTATTTTAGATTCATTCTATAACTATTAGAGAATAATGGTCCCCAGAAGAATGTTAAACAAGAAGTTCTAGATATGTTTGCTATTTTGATAAAACTATATTTAACAAGTTGTCTTATATAACTCTTTGGGCAGCAGGAAATGAGCATTTTTACATTTTAAGTCTGTAAACTCTAAAAATTCATGCTTGTCAAAGAGATTCCATAGCATAAAATCTGGGAATTCAGAATATTTGGAACCAACTAATGAAGCTATGTCGTGAATACTCATTTCGAGGAGAGAGTAGTTGTTGGCCTCCCCAGCCCTTCCTCATCCCTAGGAGTTCAGACACCATCACCTGTGATGGGTACTGAGTGGGCCCAATGGCCAGGGCCAAGGAGGGGGGTGCTGGCTGTGTCCCAGGCACTGACACGAGGCCACTCTGGGAGCCGGTAAGTAATGGAAGTGGCCGTAAACAGGTGAGAGAGGTCAGTGGGGCCAGACCCTCCTGAGCACTGAAGGTCATATCAAGGAACTTGGATTTTCTTCCAAATGCCATGAGTGCCCATTGGCTGGATGAGTGAGGTTGTGGGGCTCACCCTGGCTGCAGCATGGAGAATTAAAAGGAGGAGGCAGAGACCCCAGGGGCATGCCTCGACTCAAGTGGTAGCCATGGAGGTGAGTCTGGGAACCGGAAGACAGAAGTAGCTGGTGGATCGTATGAGGGAGGTGGGGGGAGGGCGATCAAGGATGACAAAGGGGTGGGTCATGGTGCCATTTGTTGAGATAGAGAAACCCCAGAAATGTTGTATATGGGAGGACAGAGGAAGATACCAAGCCTTGATTTGGAGAAGTTAAAGTGTGTGATGCCAAAGGGAAATCCAGTTGGAGAGAGCAAGCAGGGGGTCGGCTGTAGGAGCCGGAGCTCAGAAAAGAGACTGGCAGTAAGAGATCGGATGTTATCAGCCCACTGATGGGCTTGGAAATGCACGAACACAAGTGGAGCCAGTGAAGAGAGAGGAGAAGGTCCTGGACTGAGGGAGTTCAGGCCTTAGATGTTGGTTCCAGGAGGAGGAGCCTAGAATCACATCTGGAGAGAGGGAGGCCTCCAGAGGACGGAAGAGGATTTCTGGGCCAAGATGGGGGAGACTGATTTACTTAACCTTCTTCTTATCATGCCCAAGAACTGGCTACACCCACCTCAGTCCGTGAGCATTTGATGAGCAGCAGTTGTATCTAGAGAGCGGCGCTTGGCAGGGCAGGGCGTAAACAGAGATGGCGCACGGATCTGCTCCACACGCCCTGAAATGACCACTGAAAGCTTTAATGATCCTCCACCACATCTGCTAAAGAAACTATTTACTAACTAAAAATTTTTATTAACTAGAAAATTATTTAAAATTTCTCACTTCCTGCCATGTTTAACAGTTCCTTCACAACTTGCCTTAAATCAACGTTCCCTTTTTAAGTTTGCCACGCCCCGTTGTTACGTTTGTGAGTACATTCCTGTGGTTACTCTCCTGTCAGCTGGTGAGGACCTTTGCTTTCCTTCCACAGCTGGGTCGTGAAGTCCAGAAAGCCAGGCTGGTTTAGATTTGGATGTGGGAGTGGCGATCGGGTTCCGGGGGAGCTGACACGCAGGCTGAGAGGTCCCGGGAGGCACACCACTTCCTGAAGGGCCTTTACTGTTCCCTCTTACTCTCTCTCGCTCTTTCTCTAACGTGTCGTTTCACAATCGTTTAAAAGCCACAGCAGAATTACATGTTAAATCACAATGTTTTAGAGATGGGAAGGATATACTACGAAAATGTTAGCAGCTGGAATTTCTAGCACAGCTCGTAATAATATTAAAATTCACATACATTTGTATTTGAAGTTGATGTGGAATATGTGTTTTATCCTACTTTTCCAGTATTTCTTGAGCAAAGGTGTGGCGAGGGGACGCCACAGTGCCACTCAGTGTCAAACTCGGAATTTCTCTTTTTTAAAAAAAAAGAGACAACTGATTCTTACAGCACTATAGTGACAGAATTAACGCTTTAATTTAAAATAGAATATGCAAATAAAAATTTTTAAAAAGAAGTAGTATGAACCTTGACAGTAGGCAGTTAGGATTCGGATCTTAGCTCAGCCACCGACCATTGTGTGAGAGTTTGGGCAAATTACTTTAATAGGAAAAATTATGGGATCTATTCTCATGCAGCTGTTGTAGGATTAAATAAGTAGATATGCTGAGTCCTCACAATAGTGCCTGGTGCATGGTAGGCCTAGATAAGCTCTTGCTGTTATGCCACCGATGTGGCAACGGAGGCCCAGGGAGGTCAGCTAGGGTGCCGAGAGGATCACGGTTTCCCACCAACAGGCGGGACCACAGCCAAGATCTGCTGTCTCTTTCAATTCCGTCCTTTCAGATTACCGAGCGCCACGGATGAAAACCGTCTTGTGAGTGAGACTCTGGGGCGTGAGGTCCAGATTCCCTTTCCAGGCTTGTCAGGAATGAAACCAAAGCTTCGATTATACTTTAGCTCTGGGCCACGCAGAATCACAGAAATCAGTTCCCCCTCTAAACGTCACTATCTAGGTTAATCCTAACTTCTCCAACTTTGCTTTTTTATCCATTTTCATATGCATGGGAATCGAGTTGGATCAATAATCTTTGCCTCTTAATAACTATCTTGTTTTTCCTCAACACTCAGGTTTTGAGATTGGAGGAGGTGAGGGGTTTGAAAAACAAATAACATTTTAATACCATTTGTTAGACCATGTTAGAACATAGGGCTGCCAAATTTTCTTATGTTGCCAAATAAGATGTTAAAGGAATATAAGCTGCTTCCATCTCCCATCTCTCTCCCTTCATAAAAGAAATGACATTTCACTGTCAAACCAGTGAAGGGACATGATCTTGGAGTAAAGCCCCGGGACCACAATACTCAGGTCATCTTGTCCAGCCCCCTAGATTCTGAATTCCTGAGGGAATGTGTCTTATCCATCCTCAAATGCCGAGCTCTCAGGTGAGAGTTCCTGCATAAAGCTGGTGCTCATTAAGCGCTATTTGAAATAAATGAATTCGCAAAACAGGGGCCCCGTATTCAATATGGTACTGATAGGAGAGGCTGACCCTGTCCCTTTAAAAGCGCACGCCACACCCCAGACTCACTCTCTGTGGGCCCCCTCTCCCCCCACTTTCCGCTTGCAGATTCCTGGTGTTCTGACATGTTTTCTTTTTTCCTCTCATCTAAATTGCGCTGAGAAAAGATCTGCTCACATCTTGGTGTGAATCGAAGTCACTCTGTTACCTTGCTCAACAGTATTGCACTTTGAACCTTAATGGGTATTGTGAAGGAAGTAATTCTAAGCCCTGTTAAAGTAATTTCTACGATGGCGGAAACCATGGGAATATTTGGGGGGAGAGTGCTTCTCAGTGATGCTGAAATTCTATTAAGGCTGAGCTGCCAATCAAGAACCTAGGGACATTCTTGCAGTTTCTCAAGAGCTTAAACACAGAAGTTTCCAGCAATTCCCCTCCTGAATATATACCTGAGAGAATTAAAAACATACGTCCACACAAAAACTCATACACGAACGTTCATAGCAGCATTATTCATAATAGCCAAAAAGTGCAAACAACCCCAATGACTATAAAATGATGAATGGATAAACAAAATGTGATACATTACACAACAGAATATTATTTGGCAATAAAAAAGAAAGTGCTGAGATATACTACAACATGAATGAACCTTGAAAATATTATGCTAAGAACCGTGACACAAAAGGCTGCATATTTTATGATTCCATGTATATGAAATGTTCAGAATAGCCAAATCCATAGAAACAGGAGGCAGACCAGTGGTTGCCAGGGCCTTGGGGGCAGGCGAAGTTGAGAGTGACTGCTATCGGGGCAGGGTTTCTTCTGGGGATACTGGAAATGTTCTGTAACTGGATAGTGCTGATGGTTGTACAATCTTGTGAATACACTAAAAACCACTGAATTGTACACTTCAAAACAGTGAATTTTATGGTATGTGAAATTATATGTTATGTGAATTATATCTCAATCTAAAAGGAAAGATTACGGAGTAGGGAAGGATCCAGGGCAGGAAAAGCAATGGGAACAGCAGTCATGATTGGCCAGGGGGCGGTCTCCTCACTGAGCCAGGGGTCCTCTTGTCAACGACAGATGAAAGTCTAAACGTGTGTTTCTCAGGCCTGTTTCTTCATACTCAACCCACCACAAATGCACACCGCTCTCCAAACCTGCAAACACACCTGTGCGAATGGGAGCCCCCAAATTATAAAGTGCCTGTGGTAGTACAATGAAAAAGGCCATTAAGATCTACGTTACGCTGTTTGGCAGGCAAGGAGTGGAAACTTGCTCAGGATACTTGGAGAAAGGGGAATTTGTTCTGAGTCTCTCAAAGCCACTGTTGAGTCAGGGACA